TTTATTCATTTAATGAGATATCATTTGTTATTATCTAATTCTCAACAATAAAAATTAACAAAACTTTAAACCCCTAATTTTCCTACTTATAAATTTCCTAGTCTAGAAATAATACCAGCAATTGCCAATGAAGTGTTAGCCCAATTGTTAAGATCGAGATACTTGATTTCTAGATTCACATTCGAGTCATGCCTTGTAATGGTTGAATAAAAAAATAATATTATAAATTTAAATGATTTAAAAATTATATGATAAACTTTTGTTGTACTATGGATACAAACTACTAACCAACCCCAATATATCATGTCCATCGGCCTTTTGGCCCAATAGCCAACCCATCTGATCCTTTTGGATTTAGAACTTAGATGGTCTTCTTTGGCCCAACATCTAATACTAAATCAAAAATGTGTTTTTTATAACCTACTGCATTTTAAAAGTGTAATTTGATTATTGAAATTATTAAAATATTTTTAATAAAATATATTTTTATATTCATTTACTAAAGGTAGTTTAATAATTTCATAATTAGAATTACATTTTTAATATATAAATTGAAAGACATAAATGTCATACTTTTTTTATCTCTTAATAATTGTCATTTTAGTTAAAAGATAAAGTGATATTTTTTATAGTAGAATAAATTATCAAAATAAATAGATAATAATAATGTTAGAGTAAATAAGAGATATTCATAATTTTTTTTAAATTATAATTAATTTAAAATAAATTTAAAAATCTTAAAAATTATAATTATTTTAAGATAAAATGAATACTAAATGAACAATGATTTGTATACATTTCAATTTAACACATTATACAATATTAACACATTCAGATTTAATCATTAAAATTCATCTTTAAAAATTTCTCATTATGAATTTAAATTTAAAAATAATTGTTTCTTAATAAGTATATTGTAGAATATATTAAATAAAAAAATATATCAATAATTTTCTATACTAAATTATACGCTATGAAGTTTTAGAAGAAAAGCAAAGGGGAACGGAAGAACAGGTTGGCTGAAATACAAAAGTAATTTCTTCCAATGTTTCTGGAACACAAGAAATCGATTTCGGTTGCAACTTAATTTGAAAGCAACTTGATTATATTGTATTTGTTTGAGAATAAAATTAGTTCCATCAGTTAAATAATTCAGTTTGTACGTTGAAAGCTTTTACGGGTAAGGCTTGGTGGCTATCACGAAACCTACTTGGAAATTTTTTTTTTTTAATTTTTGATTGGATAATAAAAAATAATTATTTTGATTTTTCATTTCACTTCATTATCATATTATACGATTCAAATTCAAAATATTTTATTTTTAGTGAAAGAATATTATTTTTTTTGTAATTTTTTTATTTTAATTATACAATAAAAAATAATTATCTTACATCTTTCATCATATTTCATACATATATAATGTAACTTAAATTTATAATTTTTTATTTTTAATAAAAAAAATAATTCATGAATTATTTAGATTGTACGACAGCCATCTTGTAATTCTTGAATAACGATAACTTATGTTTTCTTCGATACCGGCTCCAGCAAGAAATGAGGAAGCGTACCTTTAAAAACTTCAGGGAAAAACGAAATGTGGAAAGAATTCTTCCACGCAAGATGCCTGATGCCCAACTATCCGGTTAGGTTATTGTGACAACATATCTAATTGATTTAGATTATTAGTTTAA